ACTTCCAGTAAACATGATATCCTTCCACTTTCTTGGATTGATATCCCCAAAAAGATGCAAGATTTTTTAAAAATCTATATATATGTTTCAATTCAGCATGAACTTTTAATCAAACAGAAAAAATTGAGTCCAGAAAAAAATTCAGAAAAAAATGGACTATTTTATTTACCTCCATGTTTTGACATGCACCGGTAACTGGAGTTGTAATACAAGACTGGTACCTATAACTATAATGACATGTCTTAAAAAAATAAATCATTTACTAAGTTTCATTAAGTAGCCATATTTGAACATAAAAAATGCCATTAAAAGAATTGTTTAGTTGTATTAATAAATATAATCCCACTATTAAAGGAGTACCCCTTTCTGAAGGCAAAAGGCAAAATTTGGAAATAAGTCATGCCTATCAAATGATCTGTAAATCTCATTGTAGTCTATCTTTATGAGTGTTTTCTTATTATTTGGATACTGTGAAGCTAGAAGAGAATTCTTATCTATTATTTTTATTTTTTTCTTTCTATTTGATTGAACCACATTTAATAGTTTACCCCTCCCCCTTTTTTCCATGAAATCTACCCAAGTGGGCCTCTTGTTTAAGTCAAATTGAAAAACTACCCAAAACTTTTTCATATTGAAGAATTTGTTGCAATTCAACTATCTAAAGACAAGAATGACCATACCTTTCTCTTTTTTGACTATACATGTCTTTATACATGCCTACTATATGATGGTTTTTAGACTGTACTTTACACCCCAATGCATATAAAACTTGCAATAAAATTCAAGAAAAAACAAAAATGAATACTCAAGTTGGTGTTTTTGGTAAGAATATTGATTACTTGTCAAATCTAATCAGAAAAATCCTTGTCATGATGGATAGTTTTAGAAAAATTCTTCTTTTTAAACAAATTTTTAACCCAAATAAGGAATTTTCAATTAACCATACAGTGCCGCAGATAGGAAAAGAAGCCATAGACTCTTTTAAAGTGAACATTTTGTGAAAATCTTTTCACCAAAAGTTCATTTTATATATATTCTACCTATATGTCAACAATTGAGCCATACAAATAATAACCCTAAAGAAAAAAATTACTTTTGTATGTAGCTGTCCCTTCAACTTTACACTGATTTTCAATGAAACTGTGCAACTAGAATTTTCATCACAAGAAGAAGATTTTATAGAGGAAAAAATCTTTCTATGTTCTTTTTAATTGAAAATCATATATGTAATACTACCAGAATCTCAATTTACCTAAAACTGTTGTGCTTTATATCTATTTATACTTTTGAATGGTGTCTTGTATCAAAAATCATAATTATTACATAATTTCAGTTTTTTCATTGTAACTTGATACCCCATGATTTTTTTTTCTTAAAAAGTCTTTAAATCATGATGTTTTGTCATTCTGGGCACACAAAAGTCCACATGAGCTACTTCCTTGCAGTGAAGATAGGAAAAAATTACCCTATGCAGGTTGCAATCATGTAATTGACTGCTCCATAGGCTTACATGCAAAACAGCTGATCTTTGAAAATAAAAAAATAAAAAATGCTACATAGAAAAAAAATTTCATGTTCATATCATGTATGTACTAATGTGAGATTGTGATTTAATCGAAAAAAAAGTGGGTCATGCCACAAAGAATAAAAAGTTACGTAACCCTGAAGTAAAAACATTTTTTTTCTACTTTCTGTTTGCTGTTTTTACTAGGCCGCACCACTTCCAGTAAACATGATATCCTTCCACTTTCTTGGATTGATATCCCCAAAAAGATGCAAGATTTTTTAAAAATCTATATATATGTTTCAATTCAGCATAAACTTTTAATCAAACAGAAAAAAATGAGTCCAGAAAAAAATTCAGAAAAAAATGGACTATTTTATTTACCTCCATGTTTTGACATGCACCGGAAACTGGAGTTGTAATACAAGACTGGTACCATGTCACTGACAGTAAGGGAGATAACTTAAGAAAGTGTCTGTCACTGACAGCAGGGGAGATAACTAATGAGCTGTCTCACTGACAGCAGGGGGGGGGGGGGGGGGGGGGGGGAGAAAACAAAAAAGTGTCTGTCACTGACAATAGAGGAGATAACTAATAAGCTGTCTGTCACTGACAGCAGGGGGAGATAACAAAAAAAGTGTGTCACTGACAGTAGAGGAGATTATTATTTGGAGAAGACAGGTGACACACAAATCTGAAATCCATGTAGTTTGTCATGAAAGCACATTTCTGTTTTTAAATGATAATATTAATGCTTATTTATAGTTTGTTTATTTATTTATTGATTTATGAAGTTTGTTTATTTATTTATTGATTTATGAGGTTAAGGTTATGATAATTTTGCTTATCATATGACAGATTGTAACAGGTGTTTTAAAAAAGATGAAAGATAATTATCTTATGAAAATCGAAAAAAAAAAAGAAATAACTTAATATTATTTATAGTATAAGTAATCCAAGAATTTAAATCATGCATGCTTCTATTGCATAAGTGATTTATGAGTGTTGTGAGGTCAAGAGTTCATGTTTTCTGATGTTTGAATTCTTAGATCAGTTTTTCTATTGATCATTGAGGTTAAATGTAAATATAGTAGAAAATGCAAGGAACTGTATCTTTTTCAAAGCTTTCTCACTCTGTTTGGATACAATTAACTCTTTTCAACATCTTCGCAAGACATCTTTGCAACATCTTTTGTTGTAATGATATCATAGAGGAGTGAAAAAATAGGTTTTATTTCACATGTGAAATATGGATTTTTTAACTTTCAATGAAATTGAAATCATAATATTTCATTGCAACCAGTGCAATATTTGAAGAAAAAAACAAATTATGAAAACTTGTGATGATATGATAAAATTTATTGCAATCATAATTATTTTTTTACAATATTTTGTGACTTTATAGACTGTAAATTCAGAAATTAATACAAGGTTTTTATTAATGCGAATAATGTGACTGGGTGAATGCGAATAATGTGACTGAGTGAATGTGAATAATGTGACTCAGGGTGAGTATCGCAATAATAAGAACTCGCATTCTGATATCTGATAGATATATTTGTATGCGGCTTTTACCGAAATCGCAATAATTTATCTCACATTTTTATCAATTCTTCAAAACTCTCAATAATAAATGCCTTCAATAATTTGTGAATTTACAGTATTATACATAAGGAGATGTACATTATGATTTAATATTTCATTTATCGGTACTCATGATACGTCTGTTTGTAAATGTTCCTAATGGCTTCCTTGTATTTGTACATAAATTCATGCTTAACAAGATGTTAAGCTGTAAAAATGCTTTAATTAGTTCCGATCTTGAATGTCTGTCTTTTTTCTCTGTCATGGCTTACTTATTGGACGAAAACATTTTTATGAATTTGTCACGGAATAGTCATTATTGTTTCCTTAAGGGGGATTCATTTTTTAAAATTTTCATGTTTTCTAGTTATTGAAAAAAATCGGTGGTGGATGAACTTAATGGTTTCCGTATTTGCTATCAGCTACCATTAGAAATAATTATTTCCATATTTGCTCCTGGCGACAATTTAATATAACTAAATAAAGAATAAAAGCTTCTTCAAATATAAATAATTGATATCAATCATGCATTATTTCGACAAAATATGACAAAAGACGGGGAAATTTGAACTTAATTGCAATTTCTAGAAATTTTTCATTTTTTGTTATATAAGGCAGCTAATACAAAGTATCTAGGTAAATATTATCATAAATCTGGTGCTCAGTGTCATAAAATTATCTTAACATAAATAATGTTCTGAATTCCAATATTTTTTCCGAAATCCAGAAACATGAAATTTTTTATTATCCACTAGTTCTCTTAATGCTGGTATTAAAACACATTGTAGTTCTCTTTTTTTTTTAAATCAAGTGTATAGGACCTAAATTTTAATACCTCATAGTGGAAAAACTTGATTTTGAGATTTAGTATGTAATTTATATATTTAATGAGTACCTAAAATCACTCCTGGTTTTTTTGTAATGTTTGTGTTGCCCAGTCTGAAGTTTTCTATGTTGTGTTTTGTAGACTTTTGGTTTTTTTTTTGTTGTTTTTTCATATTTTGTCTGTCTCTCTTCCACTTACCAGTTTTTTTTTGTCCCTTTGGTATCTCCGTCTTATTTTTTTTAGAATAAATAAAAGGAGGTTGTCTATTCCTAACATATATTTAAGATGCTGTATATTTGAACAGATAAACATACAGGCAGATCCTAATATAGAACTGCCTTAGAGCTAATTTCCTAAAGCCTGTAGATTAAGACTTTGGTTGGCTTGTTTGCTTAAATGTTTGTGTAAACGTTTGCTCAAGCATTGTAATTAAAATTGACATCCGCAAACAATATAAATAGGCGGAGTTAAACCTGCATACATTATAGTTAAATTTGAACATTTGATTAACAGGTTTAACTTTGCCTATTTATATTGTTCACAGATGTCAATCTTAATTACAAAGATTGAGCAAACATTAAGCAAGCAAGCCGTAACCAAAGTCTTAATCTTAACAAGCATTAGGAAATTAGCTCTAATTGTCAGTATTGCTTGATAATTTTACCTTTTTGAATTTTAGAATGTTCTTATTTGAGTTAAAAAAGTTTATCTTTTGTAGACATTATACAGATTATATTTAAGATATGTTTGACTAATTTCTTTGTAATCAATAAAATGTTTTCTAATTAGTCGGAGTTGATGAGGCCATGCCATAAATTTAGTGGACTTAGTCTTGTTGTAGTGATTGCTGAAAGATCACTTAATTTGGTACGAGTATCACCAAATAGTTTTATTTGTTCCTGAAGTGGATGATCATGATGGTCATTTAAAGTTGCACATAATTGAAACATTCGGGACTTTCTTGAAGGTGTAATACCACCAAATCATAGTATTCACATCCGGTTGCATACGAAAAAGGGTTGAAAAAAAATTTGCAGTAAAAAAAATCTGAATCATATATCTTGGGTGTTTCAAAGCACCATTATTTTTAGCTCACCTGACCTGAAAGGTCAAGTGAGCTTTTCTCATCACTTTGCGTCAGTCGTCCGTCGTCCTGCGTCCGTCATCCGTCGTCCGTCGTCCGTAAACTTTTACAAAAATCTTCTCCTCTGAAACTACTGGGCCAAATTTAACCAAACTTGGCCACAATCATCATTGGGGTATCTAGTTTTAAAAATGTGTGGCGTGACCCTGTCAACCAACCAAGATGGCCGCCACGGCTAAAAATAGAACATAGGGGTAAAATGCAGTTTTTAGCTTATAACTCAAAATCCAAAGCATTAAGAGCAAATCTGACGGGGTAAAATTGTTCATCAGGTCAAGATCTATCTGCCCTGAAATTTTCAGATGAATCGGACAACCCGTTATTGGGTTGCTGCCCCTGAATTGGTAATTTTAAGGAAATTTTGCTGTTTTTGGTTATTATCTTGAATATTATTATAGATAGAGATAAACTGTAAACAGCAATAATGTTCAGCAAAGTAAGATTTACAAATAAGTCAATATAACCGAAATGGTCAGTTGACCCCTTTAGGAGAAATTGCCCTTTATAGTCAATTTTTAACCATTTTTCGTAAATCTTAGTAATCTTTTACAAAAATCTTCTCCTCTGAAACAACTGGGCCAAATTAAACCAAACTTGGCCACAATCATCATTTGGTTATTTAGTTTAAAAAATGTGTGGCGTGACCCGGCCAACCAACCAAGATGGCCGCCACAGCTAAAAATAAAACATAGGGGTAAAATGCAGTTTTTGGCTTATAACTCAAAAACCAAAGCATTTAGAGCAAATCTGACATGAAGTAAAATTGTTTATCAGGTCAAGATCTATCTGCCCAGAAATTTTCAGATTAATCGAACAACCTGTTGTTGGGTTGCTGCCCCTGAATTGGTAATTTTAAGGAAATTTTGCTGTTTTTGGTTATTATCTTGAATATTATTATAGATAGAGATAAACTGTAAACAGCAATAATGTTCAGCAAAGTAAGATTAACAAATAAGTCAACATGACTGAAATGGTCAGTTGACCCCTTTAGGAGTTATTGCCCTATATAGTCAATTTTTAACAATTTTTCGTAAATCTTAGTTATCTTTTACAAAAATCTTCTCCTCTGAAACTACGTGGCCAAATTAAACCAAATTTGGCAACAATCATCATTTGGTTATCTAGTTTTAAAAATGTGTGGCGTGACCTGGTCAACCAACCAAGATGGCCGCCACGGCTAAAAATAGAACATAGGGGTAAAATTCAGTTTTTGGCTTTTAACTCAAAAACCAAAGCATTGAAAGCAAATCTGACATGGGGTAAAATTGTTCATCAGGTCAAGATCTATCTGCCCTGAAATTTTCAGATAAATCGGACAACCCGTTATTGGGTTGCTAGCCCTGAATTGGTAATTTTAAGGAAATTTTGCTGTTTTTGGTTATTATCTTGAATATTATTATAGATCGAGATAAACTGTAAACAGCAATAATGTTCAGCAAAGTAAGATTTACAAATAAGTCAATATAACCGAAATGGTCAGTTGACCCCTTTAGGAGTAATTGCCCTTTATAGTCAATTTTTAACCATTTTTCGTAAATCTTAGTAATCTTTTACAAAAATCTTCTCCTCTGAAACAACTGGGCCAAATTAAACCAAACTTGGCCACAATCATCATTTGGTTATTTAGTTTAAAAAATGTGTGGCGTGACCCGGCCAACCAACCAAGATGGCCGCCACAGCTAAAAATAAAACATAGGGGTAAAATGCAGTTTTTGGCTTATAACTCAAAAACCAAAGCATTTAGAGCAAATCTGACATGAAGTAAAATTGTTTATCAGGTCAAGATCTATCTGCCCAGAAATTTTCAGATTAATCGAACAACCTGTTGTTGGGTTGCTGCCCCTGAATTGGTAATTTTAAGGAAATTTTGCTGTTTTTGGTTATTATCTTGAATATTATTATAGATAGAGATAAACTGTAAACAGCAATAATGTTCAGCAAAGTAAGATTAACAAATAAGTCAACATGACTGAAATGGTCAGTTGACCCCTTTAGGAGTTATTGCCCTATATAGTCAATTTTTAACAATTTTTCGTAAATCTTAGTTATCTTTTACAAAAATCTTCTCCTCTGAAACTACGTGGCCAAATTAAACCAAATTTGACAACAATCATCATTTGGTTATCTAGTTTTAAAAATGTGTGGCGTGACCTGGTCAACCAACCAAGATGGCCGCCACGGCTAAAAATAGAACATAGGGGTAAAATTCAGTTTTTGGCTTTTAACTCAAAAACCAAAGCATTTAAAGCAAATCTGACATGGGATAAAATTGTTCATCAGGTCAAGATCTATCTGCCCTGAAATTTTCAGATAAATCGGACAACCCGTTATTGGGTTGCTAGCCCTGAATTGGTAATTTTAAGGAAATTTTGCTGTTTTTGGTTATTATCTTGAATATTATTATAGATCGAGATAAACTGTAAACAGCAATAATGTTCAGCAAAGTAAGATTTACAAATAAGTCAATATAACCGAAATGGTCAGTTGACCCCTTTAGGAGTAATTGCCCTTTATAGTCAATTTTTAACCATTTTTCGTAAATCTTAGTAATCTTTTACAAAAATCTTCTCCTCTGAAACAACTGGGCCAAATTAAACCAAACTTGGCCACAATCATCATTTGGTTATTTAGTTTTAAAAATGTGTGGCGTGACCTGGTCAACCAACCAAGATGGCCGCCATGGCTAAAAATAGAACATAGGGGTAAAATTCAGTTTTTGGCTTTTAACTCAAAAACCAAAGCATTTAAAGCAAATCTGACATGAAGTAAAATTGTTTATCAGGTCAAGATCTATCTGCCCTGAAATTTTCAGATGAATCGGACAACCCGTTGTTGGGTTGCTGCTCCTGAATTGGTAATTTTAAGGTAATTTTGCTGTTTTTGGTTATTATCTTGAATATTATTATAGATAGAGATAAACTGTAAAAAACGATAAATGTCGGCAAAGTAAGATCTACAAATAAGTCAACATGACCGAAATTGTCAGTTGACCCCTTTAGGAGTTATTGCCCTTTATAGTCAATTTTAACCATTTTTTCGTAAATCTTAGTAATCTTTTACAAAAATCTTCTCCTCTGAAACTACTGGGCCAAGTTAATTATAGATAGAGATAATTGTAAGCAGGAAGAATGTTCAGTAAATTAAGATGTACAAACACATCACCATCACCAAAACACAATTTTGTCATGAATCCATCTGCGTCCTTTGTTTAATATTCACATAGACCAAGGTGAGCGACACAGGCTCTTTAGAGCCTCTAGTTTTATTTGGTGTTTCTATAGAATATTTTGGAAACTTGAGGTTACATGGTTACTGAAGCTTGTACACAGGAAAAAAAGAGGTGAAAATTTGATTGGTTAACTTCCAGTGATGGTTATTTTCTTATATGCAGTGAAATGTTATGTGAAATTTTGTCTATAGTACTGGACAGGATAAAACTTTACTCATGCCAAGTATTACTTTATTTGAAACAAAGATAAATTCTGCACAATTTTTTGAAAAGTGCAAATTTAACAAAGACTAATAGGGGAAAATCAATGGTGGTATTACACCTGAAACAACTTTGACTTGAATAAAAAAACTCAAAAAATGTAGAAAAACTCATATAAAAAATAGCCTTTTCACGCCATATAATATATGGATATTTCGTTTAACCAAAAAATACAGGATCAAACCTTTTCATCACAAAATGTATTTCATATATGTTTTGACTTACTGACCGGGTCACCTATATATATTTTATATGTTTTGATGGCATACCAACAATTGTACCTTTTCCCCTGTCAGTATATATTAGTTTACTAATTGTTGACCAGTGACATATTATGAGGTGGTTATATTAATAATGTAGTAAGAATATGACCCTGACCAGAGGAAACAAACCTGATTATTACTTATCAAATTATGGTAATTATAATTAGCTTCCCAGGTGTCATCTCTAATAGAGATTACATACATCAAGCCAATAAAAAAAATACTGTGTTGGGTTTCCTCTCTTTGTCCTACTTTTTATGCCTTTAAATCAGTTTTCCTGAAAAAATTTACAGCAATGTTGGTATGGATATTTCTCATTGTTAAAGGCCATACGATTGCCTATAATTGCTTTAACATCCACTTCATTTGAACTTTGGTGGATTATAAGTTGTCTCATTCGCAATCATACCACATTGCCTTCTTTTTATATTGGCTGTAATGTTGCAAGTGGTTCCGTTATACTCAAGGTTTAAAAATTGAGCAAATCAAAATACCTGCCTTTCTACTTATATCGTATTTTTTTAATGAAGGAGGAAAACAGTATACACACCTACTTTTTGTTTAGCCTTATATTGTCTTTGTTTCTGACAATCTGATATACTAATTAATGTTATTATTAATTAATAATGCTTAGATGATTTTCCTCTTTGAATCTCATGCAATGAAACAAGAGTGTTTTGTTTATTACCTGTCCCGACAGATGTGTTTATTGTGCTAATATCAATTAACTTCATTCACAGATTATTTGACAGGTGTGTTAATTAATATTGCTGTTAATTAACCTTGTTGGTATGCCTTTGATATTTAACTTGACAAGGATAGCAGAAAAGTAACAAAAACTGCTGTTTTATGTAACCTCAGTGTTATATGTACATGAATGCAGAGATTATATTACATCTATACCATAATACATATAAAACATAATTTTTCATACTCAAGTTTTTATGCCCCACCTACGATAGTAGTAGGGGCATTATGTTTTCTGGTCTTTGCGTCCTTTCGTTCGTCAGTCCGTCTGTCTGTCCATCTGTCTGTCCCGCTTCAGGTTAAAGTTTTTGGTCAAGGTAGTTTTTGATGAAGTTGAAGTCCAATCAACATGAAACTTAGTACACATGTTCCTTTTGATATGATCTTTCTACTTTTAATGCCAAATTAGAGTTTTGACCCCAATTTCATGGTCCACTGAACATAGAAAATGATCTTAATATTGGAAACATGACAGAATTTATCAGTGGAGCAGGAACTTATTACTCTTCTGAAGCACAGTAGGTAAAAAGGGGGGAGTTACCAATTATGGGGAAAAAATTGTAAAAAGATGAGAAAAAAAAACACCATGGTCAAAAGAAAAACAACAAAAAACCAAACAAATAAAAGTTTACAAGGCACTTCACAAAAACTTAAAAGATTGAGCAACATAATTGATTTGGTCAAAGATGTGTAAAACCAAACTACTGTAAATTCAGAAATTATTGCGTGCATTTATTATTGCGATTTTGTCATTTTAGACTAAAATGCGATTTTAATTTTTGCGATATTGAGAAAAATCCTGTTTAACTCATATAGAAAATTTCAAAATGCGAGTTTTAATTATTGCGATTATAACCCGGTCGCATTTTTCGCAATAATAAAAAACATCGCAATAATTTCTGAATTTACAGTATCTGTTTTATGCAAATATTAAAGAGTTGTGTCCCCTTTGATCTCATATTCTCAATTTGTCCCTTGCGTATCAAATTCTGGGAATATGTTTAATACAATCATGGTTTTTCTTTTTCATGTAAACAAGTTAAGCTGTAATGATTTTAGATTATGTTTTTTTTGTTTACAGATTTTAATGTATGTCAGTATATTTTGTTTTTTATGACAGCCCTAGGTTGAATATTTGTATGTTTTGCAGCTTTTGGGTATTTAGAAGTCAAAGAAGTGTAAAATATGATTTGATTTCATTATCATAACATATGATAGTTTGATAAGATTTTCCCAGGGTGCCACTGATTTGTTGAAATCAGCAATAAATCGGCTGCTATAGAGCTGGAAATGTAATTAAATGGTTTGAACACATTCCGTAGCACAGTGTTATGTGTGAAATTCTGTTGATTTATCTGAATCAATAATTAAATCGCAGTTATATCACCAGATAAACTGTGTTTCTAAAAATAGATTTCAATCAGCGCTACAGAAGGATGTCATCCGAATAGATTTACATTGGCGAATAGATTTACATTGGCGATGGAGGAAATTATTTTCTGCGACCATTTGACAGTGTAGCATGAAAGAAGGGTTCATTTGAAAATCAGTGTAAATAATTTTTGTATAGATGTATCAATGTAATCTGCATTTGGATATATTGTTAAAGGGAGGAGAAAATTATTAAGATACCAAAGGAAAATTTTTTCAGTGTATAAAGGGTGATATCTTATGAAGCCCAACACTTTGATGGTACACCCTCAGAAAAAAATATATTATAATTTATAGTTGAGCTGTGCTTTGTTTTCCATAAAAGATCCCTGATCAATCTTACTTTTGAAAAATGTCTATCCTTTCATTGACTTATAAAATTTTTAATCATGTTAACCTACAGTAAACATATTCTTAGTTTGGGGTTAGTACTGACAGCCTTGCAGCAGGTGTTCCAATGGGAGTGCAGCAGCTCTAGCTGTTTCTATGCAATAGGTTGAGACTTATTGACAACCAATGCTTTTGAAATTTTATATGTTGTTAATGATCATGACAAAATAGTGGTATAATTTTAACTTCACTTTTACTCATGGTTTAGGAGTCTTTATTTCCATGCAAGAATATGTGAACCATTTGGTTAATGGTTTTGACATTTTGATATGTTGTTCATCATGACAAAATAGAGGTCAAGTTCCTTATTGATCATTTTCATTTTTTTTTAATTAGGAGTTATGGTCCTTGATTGATTGGAAAAGAACACTTTATATTGATTCCTTGTGATAACTTGAGAATTCTTCATTGTTTAAGATTTTGAAATGTTGTAAAAAATGCTTTGTATGACATAATGATGATCAGAATTAGTTTTTGTGATTTTCCCTTTTGCCTTTCAGGCCTTGTGGTCATAAAACTTTCGAGCATGAGTTTCGTACTCAGACTCAGAAATCAACCAATCAAAATCATGGATTTGGTGTTTCGAGCACAAATTTTGTACCCCGAGTACTGAGTAAAGTTTTATGACCGAGAGCCCTGGTGTTTTGTCCCTTAATTGCTTTAACAATGGCACTCATAAATGTAAAACCAAACTCTTTGTTGTTATTTTGACAGTCTCAAATTTTTATTTATATCAGCAAAAAGTTTGACATGGATTAGATCACATTATTAATGTAAAAAGGTCAAACAGATCACTTGATAACAGAGGATTATGCCTGGTTTTTTAGTACTTGTTTCACACAGTTTCATTATCCACAAAATCCTGCTTTATGAACTCACGACATCATATATGTTTGTTCTTGCTTTGATAAATTTAGTCAAGACATTGATACAATGCTGAGGTACTTTAAGGTGCATTAATTCTAATTATAAGGGAAAAACAAAATGCCCTTAGTTGGTTGAAAAATAGTCATGTGAAAGGTCATGGTGTACTGAATCCAGGAAAATCTGCATACAGATATAAGTATTGTATATCAGAATGCAAGTTTTTATTATTGCGATACTCACCCAGTCGCATTAATCGCATTAATAAAAACATCGCAATAATTTCTGAATTTACAGTACTTCTTTTCAATTTGACAGATATGACCTTGACTTTTGACTTTTTGCCTTTGTTGAGGTCACACATCATAGGAGTAAAATGGTGAAGACACTTATGTCTCTTCAACTTATATATTGTTGATATGTTGCCGCTTATGCAAATTCTAGAATCTTTGATTGGTATTATATCAGTTGAAGCTTAATCCCTCAAAACATATTAAAGGGGCTTATATCCAAACAAAATTGTGTACATTTTATGACGAGTATTATAAGCACTTCCTGTGAGCAAAGTCAGCATGCATGGACGAGTAACATTATGCTCGTCATCAGCCTTCGCCAAGCATGCTGCAAACAAAACTTTAATTTTTTTTTGGCATGGTTAAGCCAGTGGATGATTATGTAACTTTCTGCATGCATGCACAAGCAAACTGCTAGCAGGTTAATTATTGCAGGAAGATATTTTATGGATTACAGAAGATATTTTGACTGATATGTACGTATAATGTCCCAAATCCACTAAAATAAAAATATATAAATTGGTTAACGTGGATGTTTACTGTTGTAAAAAATACTTAAATCAATCTTATTGCTTTATGTTCATAGCTTTTCATGGCATGAACATTACAATAATTCTTACTAAAGTAGCAAGAGTTCCGCATGTATATTGCTTGAAGCGAGACAACAATACAAATAGAAAACAAGACAAAACAACTCAAACTAATTTCACGAGGTTTTAACTAAGGTTAACAATCTCATTTATTTTTTTAAGGTCATGTATAAATGGCCAAGGGCAAAGCGATAATTGAATGAGCTTAATTAGGTCTTTTTCAGCAAGACAATATTGAAACTTAATTGAAATAAATAATTAATGTTTAGTCTACCGAACAGAATTGCCGTGTCTAATTTTCTCATGAATATTTATCCTTTACTTAGGCCTTGTAATATATGTGACAGTAAGTAATTATCTTTTACTTTGGACTTGTGCACTTGAGTATTAATTGATGGGATCTTTGGGAATTGTTTGTGTAAGAAAGCAAAGGAAAATGTTGCAATTGCTTTTGATTGAAATATTTTCATAAATCCTCCAAGAAAA